TCTGCCGGTGGTCACAGTCCCGCCTACCTTGCAGGCACTGGGGGAGGAGACGGTTCTGCCCCTCAGCAGGCTGCTAGGCCTGATCTGCTGGTGGTCACAGTCCCGCCTACCTTGCAGGCACTGGGGGAGGGGACGGTTCTGCCCCTTAGCAGGCCGCTAGGCCTGATCTGCTGGTGGTCACAGTCCTATTGATGTTTTTTAATCAATCAAATTTAGTCCTTAAAGAGAAGTTTCAAACTGGAACTCAAGGTGGTATTTGAAGACATTCATTTCATAATCAAGGATGTATAAATTTTAATTTGCTAAAAATTAGTCCTTGTTTAAACAAAAAGAATCACTAGGCATAAGTAATGACCTTATTGTAATGAGGATAAACTTAATGTTCCAGTAAGTTTTTGTCATCTTTAAATATGGACAAAAATCTTGGTTCATATCTGCATAATAATATCAGGAAAAAGCCTGAAACATCCCAAAACTGATCATTTTATGTATTTATAGCCAATCTAGTTATACATTAATCTGCTTCTCAATTACTTTAATTTCCTTATCACCTGTCTAGATAATCACAAAAAAAAGATTTCTCTATGTAGGAAAAATTTTTCATCATTAAAGTCTTGAATACATAAAGACCTTTTCTTTTTACCCAGAGATGATTTCTTTCTTCCTTTTAGGACTCTCCAATTTCCATTTCCTCTCTGCAGAAGCACTTTTTTTTTTCTCTCCTTCTAGAATTCTTCCTCTTGGTTATACCCTGGAATAATTCCTGTAAATCTTGGACTCTAAACAAATTATTATACCTTGATAAGAAGAGATATCTCAATGGAAATGTAGCCAAAGCCCTTGGATATCCTGTTTATAGAATCATATCTGTTTATCATTTTATAAAAATCTGAACAATTATTAGGAATTAAAGATTACTTGATAGTTGTATCTCAACATGATAATTTAATAAGTATCTCTTGAAATAAGTATTTTATAGTAAAGTACATTTATCTTAAATACCTCTAACTATAAAAAGCAGAGTATCAGAAAAATGCAGCTATAAAAATATAAATTACATGTTTTCTTTGGAGAGAAAATGACTAGAAGTAAATAGACATATGTTGTTTATTCTGTGAATTAAATATTATAAATTACTTAAGTAACTGGAACAATTTGTATCAAGCATAAAAGTATAACTTATTATTATATAATTATATAATTTAAAATAAATCTTATTAAACCGTGTGGTTTTAAAAGTATTTGGATCCATTTTAATTTACTTTCAACAATAGAAGTGTGCTCTTATATCTATGTGACATCATGTAATGTAGTTAGGACACTCTTTTTTTTTTTTTATTTTATGCAGGTAGAATCAAAGGAATGAGAGTTTTTGGTCATCACCAGAGCATTGTGAGAAAAACATCTCAGGTTGCTGGCTTTTTTGTTCTTGTGACTAACAAATTATGCCCATAACCTCCAAAAATAAAAGTGCAATATAAACAAGCATATACATAACATCTCTTATCAATGTAACATTAGTTAGTAACACAACCATAGAAAAAAGAAAGAGGATACCTAAAGGAACTTGTGGAGGGATAAAAAATCAGACTATTTAGCTTTGAGAATTAAGTCAGGCTCAGTGCTGCGATATAGGAGTTTGTTCAATCAGATTCTATCTGAAAATAAATATATTTTGTTGGTATTGAAAACCATGAAGGAAAAATAATTTTGACAGGCGGGCATTATTAAGGAAACTGTAAAGGTAAGCTCCGTAACTCTGACTGTGAGCCTTCCTGAAACAGGAAGTACAGGTGAGTAGCTGGCAGGCAGGGCCGGAAGCCCCGCCTGAGTGACAGTAGGAAGAACTAAAATGGAAGCTCTCTGGAAAGTGTGGGAGGCGGGACTTATCCGCCATGTTGTTCCGCTGCGTGGTTGGAGGAGAATTCCATGTTCTTTATGATGCAGAGTTTTGCCTGAAATCGTGGGACTTTCATCCTGTGCATCATCCAGTCCTGTGTGGTTTAGTGTCCCACTGTCAACAGTCCTGGCTAATCCCTACTGTGCGTGAGTCCATGGTTTTGTGTCGCTCATTCTGTGCTCCCAGGAGAAGTTGTTCTGGTTACCATGCAGCATGGAGCTAGAGCCGCACAGCCACTGTGATCATCAAAGGCCCCCTCAGATGATTGGCTTTGCCTATTCCTTGGGCTGCTGTTTGCACCATGCCAGTTCCTAGTAAGAGTCCTTGGCCCAGGGCTTGTGTGCCTGCATTTTCTCACTTTAAATCCCTCCATGACCTTATTGTGTGGGCATTCCACCAGTCGCCCCAGGGTCATGGAGGTTCAGGCAGCGGCAGCCACCTTTTGGTCTCTGCGAATTGTCTCAGCGTTTGTGCTCCTGCCTTCTATGGCTCCCTTCCCTGCACGTTCCCCTCTCAAGAGCGAGTGCTCCTGCAGGCGTCTCAAAAATCTTTCAATCCCAAAGTGGGTTCCAGTGGCAGATGCTTGCTCCGGCAGGCCTGCACTTGGGCCATAGATCCCACAACAGTTGGCGGGCTAGAGACTCGCATCTGTCCCAGAGCAACAGCCAGGTTACAGTTATTCTGATTTCGGTATACAATAAGGATACAGCAAGCTTAGAAGATTTTATCTTGTAATAAATTGCCTGAATATTTCAAAAACTGTAGAAAAATATTTGTTTCTCTAGAAGTAAAGAATTCACACGCGTGTGTGTATATAAATTTCCTCTTCTCTTACTCTGGAAACATCCATCCCCAGTGCATAAATCTTAAAAATTCTCACCTTAATATTTCAAAATACAAAGAATCCACAAAAATCCACAATAAGCACACTTTTGCTATGAGAGAATTTGCTATGAAATGTATGAAATATACATCTCACCAATTACCTTAAAAATATTTCAGCGGAGCCTCCAATTGTCCCCAGCTAGCCAGGCTGGTGAAACAAGCTGGGTTCAAAGGAGCTGGCTGCAGCAATGAGCTGAGAAAAACAGAACCAGGGTAGAACAGCTCTGCAACCTTAAATGTCCATGCTGGGCAGTGCTAGAAAGGGAGCAAGAAAGAGAGAGAGCATCCCTGAAACCCCTCTATTTATTGAGGGAAAGATATCGGATAGAATATTCCATCCAAATAAGGTGGAGTCTTGCTTGGTGATGTTTTTTGGTCAGCAGATTGACATATTGGCAAATCACACCCATCTCAGGTGCTGTGTGGGATCACAGGCAGAGTGAGAGGAAAGGCACCCTTACATCACACAGCCCATTAAGTGTGCAATACCAGACCAGTTCCCTCATATGCTCAAATGCTCATAGCTCACACACACAGCCCATGGATAGCTCGTCACACACACACACACACACACACACACACACACATTCAATGAGTTAATAATTATAATGATTTTTTTATAAACCAAAGATCCCACATTTATTACTGAATATACAAATAAAGAGAAAAATCAATTCCAACTACCCAGAGAGTAGTAATGTTTTCAATTTAGTGTGGTAAGATGATAGTGGCTCCAACACAGAATAACTATGTGTGCCATCTCACATGCAATTCTTCATAGAACCAGCTTGTTTTTCTCCAGGGTCTCTGCTTGGAATTGTACCTGATTTTATCATGAGTTTTCACCTGACTCCAGTGGGGGATGGAACTATTTTGCTTCTGTTTCTTCTCTGGGAATTGCTTGATCCTGAAAGTCTTGTCAGAAGTCATACTTAGGAATGGAGACAGTCACCCACTCACTATCATGGCTGAGGAGGGGAAAGAGAGCTGAGTTTATATTAATGAAACGTTTTACTTTGGAGAATTAAAAGAAAAATACAGCAGGTCACCTGATTTTGCCACCAGAGGGCATAAAATATTAAGAAATAAGGCAAGCAAAGCCTGTTTATGCTTGAGATTCTCTGACTACATGGTTTGAAATTTTTTGATAGCTACTTTAAGAAATTAACTTTTTCTGAATCCAAATAAGCTATGTGCAAATGAAGAGAGGAAAAGAGGTTAGAAATGATTTTTTAAAAAATCTTTATTTCATCATAATAAAATTCTCAGGTCTCAAAAAGGCTCACCTTTATGCGTGTATTAATTCCACTATTGATTTAGGTTAAACCTTGAAATAGATGGGCAATGTTAAATTTTGATGATTTCTTTCCTGTTGATGTTTGAGGAAAACACTGACTGATTAATTCAATCTTCTGTAGAAAAGAAGGAATGAGCTAGTCCAGAATCAATGTGGCCATGTTCTTCAGTTTGATCTGTATATAGGTTAGTAAATATATCTTTACCTAAGGGCCACATCTCCCTCCATACCCAGAAAAGTCCATGGTGAGTCACTGGGGAGGATGAATGTGTACACATGCACAAAGGTCTAGCACTGCCTGAAAAACTGAATCAGGTGTGTATTCTACTGATATTGACTCAATAGCTCTACTCATAAATGGATATTACTTTGATCTCAGGGTTAGAAATTACTTAAGAGTCAATAATAACTTCTCTTTCTCTTACTATGATCCCCCTTTTTTTCCATTTCCCTTCCCATCTAAGCCCCACATGAGTTTGTTTTTTCCTTTAATAGATTATATATATATATGGAAAAATTGTTGATAACTGATTTTGATGGTTTGAAAAATACTTCAAATGTGCTAATTGCTTTTTCAACAATAGAAATAGCTTGGTTGGGCAGGTGATAGTGGATGTGGACCTAGACTTAACTGATTTATCCCCATCCTCTGCATGAGGTTGCATTGTAATGATCACATTATAACGAGATCATTTTCTTCTTCTTTGAAAATCACTAGTATTGCACAGAAGAGAAATTTTGAAGGAAATGCTGCATATTACTTGCAATCAATACCATATTACTACATTCAAAACAGTTCTTGTAAATTGGAGGATGATCATGAATAATATTGCATCTGTGCAACTGAAAATAACATGAGCTATGTGTTTTTACATGCCACTTCCAAATTGCTCTAAACAGGTAAAAGTAAACTGGAAAACTGGAAGTAATCATCTTGACAATTCAGTCAAAATATTCTATAAGTGTTGGGGTAGGAGGATATGTGCTATTTAGGATGTTTTCACCATTCTAATATATTTTAGGTAAGTGCAAAGCTTCTTACTTTTTTACAATAATCCCAAATAATTGCATGATGTGAATGTTCTATGCATCCAGGCACAGTGGCACATGCCTGTAATCCCACCATTTTTAGGAGGCTGAGACAGGAGGATCACGAGTTCAAACCAGCCTCAGAAAAAGCATACCGCTAAGCAATTTACTGAGACTCTCTCTATAAATAAAATACAAAATAGGGCTGGGAATGTGGCTCAGTGGCCAAGTGACCCTGAGTTCAATCCATGATAATAGATAAATAAACAAGAAAACAAATAAATAAATAATTATTCTATGCGATCTTAAAATTACTCAAGTTCATTTTGTTAAAAATATCTGACTATTTCATATATTCTCACTTTCAATTTTTTAATATCTTCTAATGTAAGATTCAGGTTTTTTTTCATTAGAAACTGGCAATGTTGAGCCAGGCATGATGTTGCATGCCTGTAATCCCAACTACTCAGGAAGCTAAGGCAGAAGAATTGCAAAAAGGCCAGCCTAGGGAACTTAGTGAGACCTTGTCTCAAAATAAATTTCAAAAGGTACTGGGGATGTAGCTCAGTGGTAGAATTGCCTACCATGCAGGAGGCCCCATATCCAATCCATAGGAAATTGACCTTAGGAAAAACAACAGAAATGGGTAATGTTGAACCTCAGTTATGTTTACTTGATATATGCAAACCATCTTTTGAATCTGCAAATTCCAGGTTTTCTTATTGCTCTGGAATCTTTGGGAACAAACCTTCTTTAATAGAATTGAGTGAGTTTCCAAAACCAAACCTGAATTCAGCATATTTTGACCAATCCAGGAACTGCTCAGTGCAGGCCCATAGAAGTTGAGCCTATTATTTTGCATTGAGCCCCTGTCTAACCTGCATGAGTGCACAATGGACATGACATAGAGAAAAAGTTCATCTGCTCATCTGCAGTCACTTTAGGGGACTGATGTGCCCCTCAGAGTTTCCCCTGTCACATTCTTCTATTCCTAAACTCAGGTCAGATGGATTGCTCCATTTCTAAACTTGAGTACCTCCCTTGCTTCAATACTCACAGAATCACATTTGAGCAAATATGCAAGGCTATGTTAGCTTATCTGTAACAACAGTTTGTAGGGCATCCTGACATTACTGACATTCAATAACAGGAGGCTGAGGTATACTGGAAAGGTCCCTACCCTGGGTATCTGGATTAAGGGGGGGCACACCCATCACTCTTGAATGGGCTTAGATATGCCTCTTAGGTAGCAGGGGTGAGAACTTCAAACACTACTTCAAATATATGAAGAAATATATCCCTTCTGTTTTCTATAGTCTACTCTTTCTACACTCTTTGACACTTACCAATGTTAGGTATTAAAGTCTCTATTCTTTTAAATAGACTCCTATATGATGCTGTTATGATTTGAATGTGAGGTGTCCCCCAAAAGCTCACGTGTGAAACAATGCAAGAAAGTTCAAGGAGAGATTACTGGGTTATAAGAGTCAACCCAATCAGAAAAATTAAACCCCCCATAGGGATTAACTCAGTGGTCACTGAAATTGTAGGGTGTGGCTGGGGGAAGTGGGACTTGGGGGCATGGCTTTGGGGTATATATTTGTATATGGCACGTGGAATCTCTTTGCCTCCTGATCAACATGTGAGCTGCTTCCCTCTGCCACACTCTTCTGCCATGGTGTTCTGCCTCACCTGGAATGACAATGATTGGAGCCAACCTTCTATGGACTAAAACTTCTGAAACTATGAGCCCTTAAATAAACTACTCTTCTTCTAAACTTGTTCCTGTCAGATCCTTCAGTCACAGCAGCAAAAAAAAAAAAAAAAAAATGCTGACTAAAACAGATTGTGTCTGGATAGATAGTAAATCTCTCTTCCCCAGCTCTTTCCAGATAGAAAGAAGACAGAGCTGATGTAATCACATGGCAGCAAGGGCAAGGAATGCCAGAGCCCTCTGGATGCTCAGTGAATGCTTTGACCCTCTCCCAGATGATGTATTACTTGGTCCACATGAGTCTTAGGAATATTTTGCTGGCACACTCTCTGGGCCTGACATTGGTCTCTGATTGTGCCTGCCCATACCACAGCCTCTTTGTGCATCCTAAGACGTCTGTCAGTTCTCTGGTCCTCTTAGCACCAACAGATTCACTCACTGAGAGTTATGGGACTTTCCAGACAGCCTAAGATTCAAAGTTCTGCCTCATCTCTTTGACTGCCTGCGATGGCCACTGTTATTTTACCACTTCACATGTGGACAAAGAACTATGGCCCTTTCCTCCCAGAGCTTCAAAATGTAAAAGAGGAAAACTAGATTCTTTCTTGAACTTCTTTGAGCAGAATACATGCACCAAAACCCTGCTTCCTCCATTCTCTTTCTTGTTACCCTTCTATAGTTTACTGACTGGGAAGGACAAACATTCTATTTCTTTTTAAGAGCTTTTCTTTCCTAGAAGATGAGGGAGTAAATCCTGTCTTAAGAAATGGGGCAAATTTTTCATCTTTAAATCTATCATTTTTGCATATTTATTTCTGCTCTTCCATTTTCAATATTACTTATTATTGGTTCACTTCTTTCTTTTTCAGAACTCCAGAGATCAGATGAAATTTTCTTCAGCTGCCTTCCTTATATATACCGGTGAAGGAAAGTACATAACTATGCTTTATAAAGATTCATAAGCTTATTAGAAGAAAACAAAGGGTCACTACCACAAGTCTCCTAAAATCAATACAATGTAAATACTGCATCTTAAAAATTCAGTGTTATAATGTCTTCTGTAAATTTTATCTTTTCCTGTTTTGAATATCATGGATTTATACTATTATGAACTCAACTTATTTATGAATAATTAGTACCATGGAAATCTGGCATTAATTTTACTCAACAGAGTAAATTTAAAAAATAATTTTTTTAAAAAAATATTGTTTATACCATGAACTTTCCTTTTTCAGTATAAAAAGAATTCTAGAAAAAGGTTAAAGAAAGAAAATTTAAAATAAAAATATCTTTTAACAAATCCTTGATATTTGTATAAGCTGAGATTTATGAATGGATTCCTCATGGAAATATTATCTCATTGTCCAAGTGTGGTAGTATTTAACCATTTCCCCAACTCATAGAAGAGGAGCTCAGTCATACTGTGCCATTGTTTAGGACAAATTTTAAGATGGCACCATGATCTCTGTCCCTGATGTTACATCCAGAATTATTTTAAATACATGGCAAGAGTGAAAATATTTTGCAGATGTAATTAAGACACCAAAGTAGTTGAAAAGTCATGAAAAGGGAGAATTAACCTTTGTGGGCTGGCCTGACTCAAAAATTTAGAAACCTTTAACAATGGAATTTTGCATTTCACTGATATACAAATATAGATGCTCCTGGTGACATTGAAGAAGCAAGTTGGTTCTAGGACTATGAATAAATAAATTCTTCTAGTAACTACCTGACTTGGAAGAGGACTTTGAAACTCAGATAAGACCCTGATCTTGATTGCATCTTTGTGAAACCCTGAACAGAGGGCCCACTTAAGCTGATCCTGGACTCCTGACCATGGAAACTGTGAGATAGTAAGTGTCTGATGTTTTAATCTCCTAAATTTATGGTAATTTATTATGAAGCAACAAAAAAATGAATATAGCTAACAGTGATAAGGAAAATCACAAGGAGTCAATACCTATCTATAAAAAGAGTAGATGATGATTAAAGGCATAAAGCCTAAAGTCAGACTATATGTGCTTGTGTCCCAGCACTATCATCTGCTAGGTGTGTGACCCTGTGCATGCCTCAATTTCCAGATTATGAAATGAGGATAAATATAGTTTTTATCTCACAGGATTCTTTTGAGGATTGATGGGCAAAGTCGCTAGAAGGGCAACCACACACAGAAAGCACTCTGTAAAACATTAACTAGGCCTAATAGAAAAATGTTCTTCTCATTATCAGTGGATCTAAAAGCATCAAAGCCTTTTTTCAAATATATCCTCTTAACAAATCAGAGTGTCATCCTATCATAAACACTCAAGGCATTTGATTTCATCCAGAAAAAAAATGGACTCAATAATTTAAGAAGTACAGTCTTAAACTGCAAAAATAATTATTGGAGGCCTAATCACATCTGAAAAATCTCTTAATTCTCACTTCTATGGATATGTTTTGGGTATATTTCTGGACATTTCAGGTATTAGAAGCTTGGTCCTCACTGTGGTGGTGTTGAAGTAGTAGAACCTTTACAAAGTGAGGCCTACGAAAGATAATAGATCAGAGTAGGTACAACCTCATAAGAGGAATGAATGCTTTGCTCTCAAGGAAAGACCCAAGAGAGCAGGTGATTATAAGTAAACCTGGTATCTCCCATGAGTCTCTCCTGCTTCATTTCTCACATGTGATCCTTTCTCACTGTGATGCCATCTGCTCCTAGACCCTCACCAGAGCCTATCAGATGCTGATGCTATGTTCTTGAGCTTCCGGACATATGAATTATAGAACACTCTTTTCTTTATCTAGAACCCCGCCTTGTATATTCTATTATAGCAGTATACAGTGAACTAAGACATCCGTGTTCCTCAAGATTTAGGCATGAGTGACAGTTTCACAGTGTTATGGTTAGATCTTGTATGTCCCCCAAAGCTCAAGTGTTGGTAGTAATGTCCAGTGATGGGGTTTTTACGAAATTGTTGGGTTATGAGGAACTAACCTCATCAGTGAATCAATCCATTCTATTGGATAATAATTTGAATGGACTAATGGGAAGTGTTGGAACCTGTAGGCAGGTGGGGTATGACTGAGGGAAGTCAGTCACTGGAGGAATGTCCTTGAAGATTGTATCTTTTCCCTCTCTCATTCTTATATTTTCTCTCTCTCTCTCTCTCTCTCTCTCTCTCTCTCTCTCCTTCTCCTTTCTCTCTGTCCTTCCCCACTTTATCTATCTCTATCTCTCATCTTCCTGGCTGCAGTGAGCTAAGAAGTTTGACTCAGACACACCCTTTCACCATGATAGTCCCCCTCACCACAGTCCACATTCTTCTTATATTGGGGAAACAAATACCTAAACACCACTTTCCAAATCAGATGATCCCAAGGTCACTTCTCAAACAAGTTTTCAAAATCACACCCTTGAGTCTGTAATGGGTGTGTTCTTGGTAAGTTTTGAGATTCCCTAAAGATCTTTCCTATTGTCTCACTGCAAAGTACTTCACTTCTCTGTAGTAGCAGTAATCTCTTTAGCAACCACCACTTCTATGGTACCATTCTTATTTTGTGCTTCTACTCTGGTCTCAATGCAAGTTTTCCAAGTCTTTCCTCTCTGATATCTACTCCACAGTATCACAATAAAACTGGATAAAAGCTGCCAGAAATACCCATGCCACTGCCTAAATGCTATGTTGCATTGAAATTTTCTCCAAAAAATTAGTTGTCCATTTCTTTTAAATTCAGCCTTACAGAAAGTCTCAGGACATGCACATAATTTAGACAAGTTCTTTGCCAGGATGTAACATGAATGACCTCTACTCCAATTACCAAGAGAGTCTTCATTCTCTGAAACCTTGTGAATTTTTGTCTTGACTGTTCACATTCCTTTAGTATTTCATTCTTCTTAGCTCCCTCCAGAATCACCCTTTAAGCTCTGCTTAAAATATTCTAAGACATTTCCAGTCTGTATCTCTGAACTTTTCCAGACTTCTCTCACAAATCAATTCCAAAGAGTGAACCACCTGATCAGGTATAATCACAAAAGCCTGATTTCTTGGTAACAATTTCTGTTAGTCATATTTGTATCACTGTAACTAAAATACCTAAATAGGAAACTTAGAGGAAGAGCAATTTATTTGGTGCTCTTTGTTTCAGAGGTTCACCCAACTCCATTACTCTGGGCCTGAGGCAAGACAGAACATCGTGACAGAAGGGCATGGTTGGAGGAAGTGGTTCACTGGAAGCATGGCCTGGACTGTATCTGTTCCTGGGCCCATGTCTTTCTCCCAGCTTCCCTGATGCCATGAACTAATTAGTTTTCCTCTGCCATCCCTTTCTGCCATGATATTCTGCCTCACCTCATGCACAGAACAATGGAGTCTGTCAGTTATGAACTAAAACTTTGAAACTGTGAAGGAAAATAACTTTTTATCCTCTAAATTACTCCTTTCAGGGATTTCTGTTACAGTGACAGAAAACTGACTAGCACAATTAGATAGATAGATAGATAGATAGATAGATAGATAGATAGATGGATGGAAAAAAACATGGATATCTTGGGGTCCTGATCATAAATTAAGCATATACATTTTAAATTATCTAGGTCAAATGCATTGTTTTTTTAATATTTATTTTTTAGTTGTAGTTGGACACAATACCTTTATTTTATTTATTTATATGTGGTGCTGTGGAAAGAACCCAGGGCCTCACACGTGCTAGGTGAATGCTCTATCACTGAGCCACAACCCCAGCCCCTATTGATTTTTTTTTTTAAATGAGTGAAACTTTTCTAAATCAATGAAAATTGTTGGGCTACAACATTTTTTTCTCAGGCACTTTTAAACTGGAAAAAATTTTCCAGTTTATATATCTGACTAGATAGAAGGATTTAGCTGAGGAAAGGGGAAAAAGTCAGTGGTGAAATGAAGTATAACATTGCTGAAAAATCAAATACATCAGAATCACAACAGGGAACATTTAAAATTACAGATGTATAGTTTTTATTCAGGAAATTCTGACCCAGAAGGTCTGGAATACAGACCATGCAACTGTATCTTTAAAACACTCTGCATTCATTAAATGAAGGTAAGTTGAAATAATGAACAGATTCCTTAAGTGTTGGTACATTAACACGATGGAAATGGATTTCTTGTTCACAAAATGGTGAGATTGATATGAAAGGTCTTCCTCATGCAGTAGTTCAGCTGCCCAGACTCATTCCCTCTGTGGCTCTCTCATACCCTCAGGATTCACTGTCATTTGCCGCCCCCAATGGAAGGAGAAAAGGCATGGAAGGGCACATGTGAGGATTGGTAATGGGCCAGACTGAAAGCAGCATGAACTTTCCCTTTGCTCTCATCCCATTAAGAATAACTCAGTCACATAGTGCTAGCTACCTAAAAGGAAGATAGGAAAATATAGTCTAACTGATGAACCAAAAGAGGAAGTAAGTTTCAGGGAATAGGAAGAAGTATCTGCCATAAGCATACCATGTGATATTAATGTACAGCCAGTGCACAGTTTAAACTTGATGGATGAAAACATGACCTTTCAGTCAAAATAATCTAGGTTTAATCTTGGCCATTTGGGAGCTATCTGATCTTAGGAAAAAACATTTCCTTTGTCTGTGACTCATTTTCTCCATTTAAAAAAATGAGGATAAAAACATCTCACATCTTAAGAATCATGTGAGACTGAAATGAAATGTGTTTTAATATCAAAAGGATCCTAACTGGCACTTCATTAATATTGCCAAATGTTTTATTTTAATTGTATTGGTTGGGGAAGCAAGGTATTCTTTTATTAAACTAAGAATATATATGTATCAGCATCAGAATTAATATTGTTCTAACTCAATCATTAGATGGGGAAAGTTTTATAAGGTAGAATCTTACACAATAGTACTGATTTCTAGCTGTCATAAAATTTCCTGGGCAAGTAGACAGCTCTCTTCCATGAGACTATGGAGAGATCTCATCTTTTTCCAACTGGTGTTTCCACCAAACACTAGTCACTTAGTCACTGTGTAGAGATACATATGGAAGCGATATGTGGTATGGTCTGAGCTGAATATTGAACCTTCAGTATTAGGATATTTGAAACTCATAAAATGTAAAATTACATTATTTTAAAATAAAATGAAAGCAACCTTTGTTAAGAAATTAATAACGATGATAGTATTTCAAATGTTGACATATTCATATATTTCTTGTACTGTCCTCTTCATTAAGCATCTAAGAATAGGATCTTCTCCATTTGATTCCCTGATACCACTCAAGCTTGCCTCTTAGGCCTTGCTATAATTTGATGCACTCTTGATGTCCTGATAAAGTGATCAGAACCTGACTTTCCACATGCTTAATGCCCTGACAGATGTAAGGTTCTCAGCTCTGCAGGTCCCCTCCTTCTGTGTTTTTGCCTTGACTGGATCACATGTTAGGGCAGAGAGAAAAAAGGACATAGATCCAGGTACTAGACCCTAATAAGTCATTTGACTTATTATTTGGGCGTCCTTGAGAAATAACCAGCACTTTAGCTTTCTTTTCCTCTTTGAAACTAGGGAACGTGACAATGCCCAGGCTCAATTAACAATCACTGTTTATTTAATTCCTACGTGTGCTTGCTTTTCCGTAAGGTGTTAGATGTATTACCTTATTTAATCTTCATTATATATCCCTTTGAGGTGGGTATTTAGATGAGGAAACTGAGGCAAAGAAAGGTTAAATGGCTTGATCAATTTGGCAGAGCCCTTTGAACTTTGAGGTTTTCAGGTGATATAGACTCAGTGTATTTAGTTGCTTATTAAAGCATAGTAAGAAAAGAAAACTGCCATGACCAGAGGCACATAGAGATAAACAGTCTTGTGGGCTCTGTTTAG